ATTGGCCGAATACCTCAAGCGTGAGATGGAACTGTTATGCCCCTCACCATACTGTGATGCCCTGTCAGGCCGGAGCGATGAGCCGGCTTGTAGTCTAACATTACTCTGCCAGGATCAGTAAACAGTCCTCCATAAAATGTGCCGGCGAGCCACAGCACTAAGTTGATGTATTCCCTCAGCGACCAGCACGGATCAGCTCTAGGCATGACGAGGCGGATATTGTCCTCTTTTGGAAGATCAAACAAAGTAGTTTCGCTTTCACAACGAAGCACAGCGTCTTCAGGACATGGCGGCGGCAACAACAATACTACAGCGAGAATAAAAGTTACGCCTTCTTTCTTTGCGTGAACATTTGGGCGGTGTTATGCAAATCTTCCCACATAGTGAGGTAGATATGTGGGGGGGGTTAGAACGAGCTGTTTTAGGTAGGCGTGGTTAACTCTTAACTTTTATAAAGAATATCTCTTTGGATTTGAGACTTTAGTCTTTGCAAATTTAAAGTTCTTCTTTATGCACCAAGAGCTTGTAACACTCCAAAGAGAAATAAAAAATTTAAATCGCATCATATGACCCCTTTAAATTAAAAGGTTCAATATTTTTACATTTAGTAAAATAATTCCTAAAGCACCTTGACTATATGCAGCCCTGATGTCAGAGAGCTGCTGTGGGATCCTTGTGCACAAAATCTCTAAAAGAGTTTCTTCATCTGTACCAGCACTCTGAACACACAAAAAATTTATACAGACTGAGTGGATGTCGAGCTATAGTTAAATGTACGCTGATAATCACACACACACACACAAACACACACACGTAACTGCATATTCATAGACTAGCATTATACTAGTTATTAATGCCAAACCTCCATGGCTTTGCGTAAGCGATGGGCCTCAAACTGCTATCATCATCAGTCCAAGTATCAGAGACAGCAGATCACCGGAAAGAACCTTCTTCAGACTTGCATCCAATTCCTGTAACACACACACACACACACACACACACACACACACACTTTTGTATCATGATGAGGATTAATCATTGACTTCTAGTTAATGATATTATATCCCCTAAACCAAATCCTCACAAACCTTTCTAGGCCATTTTCCTGATGGGAATTATATATGAGTTTAATTTTTATTACCCTTGTGGGACATTTGCTCACTATACTAATGTATTATATTACTTGGTCACTTTTTATAGTATTTGGCCTCTAAAAAGCATCCTGACCCCAACACATAGACTGACTAGATTGTGATGATTTGGAGATGAATTTGTTTCTCCCTTACCTTTTGTGAGAAATTCTTGTAAACCTGGGCAAGAGATCATCTCTGAGCATTACTGCGATTGGTTAGTAATCTCACAATGGTGCTCACATCTTTAACAAAAAGTTATGGTAGTTTGCAATGAAAACAATGAAATATGATAGAATACTAGCAGATTGAATTTTACTACCACAATCATGCCTCATGAGCATTCATTTAACTGTACCTTTCTTCTCCAGTGCAGTATGAAGGACTGTAACATCTCTCTCGGGATGGAAATTTGGGAAAGGCTGAACAGACCCCAGGGTGCCCCACCACATGGCTTCAAACTGTGGGATGATAAAAAAATATAGGCATGTAAAGAGGAGGATGTAGATTGTAGAAGAAAAGAATCCTGATGTAGAAGAAAAAGGGTATTGAGAAGCAGTACTACACAAAAAGTGAGAAAAATGTACAGATGCAAACATTCACCGTAAGTGGAGATGTTTCCTGTGAGTTAGCTTCTGTCTCCATGGCACCACTTGTTAATGTAAAAGGAATATATGCATGCACAAGCTGCACCGAGAGAAAAAAAAGTTAACTCTTTACAATAAGGTTCAATTAGTTAATGTTATTTAATGTATTAACTAACATGAATGAACAATATATTCATTACAGTATTTATTCATCTTTGTTAATGTTAGTTCATGAAAGTACAGTCGTTCATTGTTAGTTCATGTTAGTTCACAGTGCATTCACTAATGATAACAAGCACAACTTTTGATTTTAATAATGCATTAGTAAATGTTGAAATCAACATGAACTAAGATTGATAAATGTTGTAGAAGCATTGTTCATTCTTAGTTCATGTTAACTAAAGTAGTTAACTAATGAACCTTATTGTAAAGTGTTACCAAAAAACATTGGTGTAGAAACAATTTTCTTTAGTAAATTTCACAATTAAATGAACAATACAATGGCAAGTAACAATGAATTATACATGCTATTTTAAGTAGAAAAACAAAAAAAGTATTTTATTGTAAAGCATACTCCAATAATCTGTTTTATTTACACCTTTGAGAAATAATTTTTACAGTGTATAAATAATAACAAAAATCATGAAAAACAACACCTCAGAAAGAGCACAGTTCTTTAAAAATACTGTAAATAAATATATTTCTTTATTTCTTTTAGCAAAAATAGACAAATTAATAAACAAAGAAATGAACTTAATTCTCACTTAACACTGTACAAATTAAATTCAAATAACCTATGACCCTTCTGACAAAAAGAGGAAAGCACATGAAAATGAAATTTGGTTTAAAAAGGTTTACCTAACTTAAAAAGATTACTCGAAGAGTGATGATGTTTTGTTAAGGTGGTTTACCTACTGAAGACTCAGAAGGGTCTGTAGTGAGATTTCAGTCTCAGGCGAGATTGTGTTTCAGTTTTTTTTGTGTGACTCCTGATCTGCCCTCTCTCAAACTTAATAACGCAAGATGAAAACGTAAGGTTTTAAATCGCTGTTGGGAAATAAATAGCATCCATATACCACAGTTCTCATGTACTTGAGAGTAGTACAAAGTCTTGTACTGCAAGAAGCATAAAATGTCTCAAACCAAACAGAAGCTCTATGCCTTAGATCAGATCAGATCAGATCAGATCAGATCAGATCAGATATCCCATGGGTGTAACCTTGAGACTACACACAAGAACTTTAAAAACCTGCATAACAACTGGAAGACTCAGTTGACTAGATTCCTCCACAAAACAACATTTCTGAACTACAAGGATTCTTCGAAGAAAATTCTCGAACACGTTTTGATGTAGGCTACATTCAAACATCGTGAAGTCGTGGCCTAATGGTTAGAGAGTCGGACTCGTAACCCCAAGGTTGTGGGTTGTGTCTCGTACCGGCAGGGATTGTAGGTGGGGGGAGTGAATGTACAGCGCTCTCTCCCACCTTCAATACCACGACTGAGGTGCACTTCAAGGCACCGAACCCCCAACTGCTTCCCGGGTGCCGCAGCAAAAATAGCTGCCCACTGCTCCGGGTGTGTGCTCACGGTGTGTGTGTGTGTGTGTGTGTTCACTGCTGTGTGTGTGCACTTTGGATGGGTTAAATGCAGAGCACCAATTCCAAGTATGGGTCACCAAACTTGGCCACATGTCACGTCACGTCACATATTTCGATGTCAAGATATTTGCTACAAGCTGCATAAAACAGGTTGTAATTTGAGAAATGTGTGAACGTATTGTTAATGTCAACAAAGACGTTAGTGGAGCTGAACTTGCATGTGACTGTGTACGTAAAGTCAAATGTTGAAAATATCACCAGAATTTACCTCCACCTGAAAGAGCAACATCATCAGGTGTGGCGTTTGATTTGTAGACCTGAACAAACAAAATGACATCAGTACACGCATCTGCATACTTGTCATTCATCAGCAGCCGTTATCAGACATCTTGACCTCACCTCTCCAGTCCGGTCACTGCACCTGCCGCTCGAGTCTCACTGATCGATTACATCTGATCTCAGCGTTAACAGAAGTACAGCCTGGCAGTACATGTTTCCTAAGCCAAGTTAAACTGATTAAAATGAATAAACAAGCACTACTTCACATGTATGCCAATACAAGTTTTTCTTGAAGAACCGTTCTAAGAAATTAACACAGATAGTAAAACATAGCCCACACTTAAAGGCACAATTAATTTGATTAAAATATCCAAAAACCACTAGAACTCTGCATCCAAAAACTTAGGCAGCTGACTTGCTGCATCGCTGCCATACGAGGCAATGACATTGCAAGCAGTGTTTTTTCACGAAGGCCCCTCATGAAACTGATTTCGGACAGGCTTCTGAGGCAGCATAAGGGTTTAATGATCTACAACAAAATAGAATGAGTTTTTGTGATAACATTTACACACAAACTGACCACCAAACCCAACTTTCAGACGACATCTTTATTTTTTAGCTCAACTGTCACGGAATGGAACGCACAGGATTGTGGGATATCAAAGGCAGCGAAACATACATCTATGCTGCCTTCAAAATTCGATCAGAAGAAGGTACCTCCAGAGACAGGAAGTGAAGCAGAATTTGTATTTGGACCTGCCTTGATGGCTTCCTGCCTTGGAATGCTGCCCCCGAAGGCAGCATTTTAGAGTTTTCAGATGCAGCCAGTGTTATATATTTTGTGTCGCCTGCCAATGACGTCATAACCCCTCGATTTCCGGTTTTGTTTTGTAGAAAACATGGAAACACCAAAGACGCTTTAATATGTTGTGCGTTTTAATAGACCGGTGATGACGGCACAGAGTAGAATTATAACAATACTTTCAAATGTATCTAGTATGATAAAACAGCGCTATTTTTTTCCCCCACATACGCACGACCAGAAGGAGCGGAAGCGGTCGTCTGTGGCATAATAAAAGCTCCGCTGCTTTCGAGCCGTGTGTCGCGCTCGTTCAGCGGCCTCGTTTCACTTCGACGGCTTTCAGCCTCAACCTGCTTCATTCTACTGCGTTAATAAATCATTAGCTCATCCATGAACATGATTTCTGGCCGAGTCCCGTCGAATTGCATCGGCTGTGGGGATGAAGACTACAACTCCCATGATTCCACACTCAGTCACGGTGTCAACAAACTGCCTTTGTCTCTTTGTTTATTTTGAATACGCGCCCTCTAGCGGCGAAAATTACATATTGTGCCTTTAAGTGAAAATGTGATGAATTACTACATAAATTTTTTTTCACATAGTTTTATTACAAAATTAAAACCCCTCCCTGTTACATAATATTTCACATCGTACTTTGAAAATAACATTTATACATAATAAAGTTTTCCAAAAACATGGCGACTTTATATTGACTGACATCAGCACACTTTTTGGTATAAAAACAACAGGACAGACGGAAATCTGCCAGAATTCACTCCGGAAGCATTTGCAATGACTATAAACTAATCGCAGACATTGATATTAAAGTATACATACCAGAATATAGCCAATATGTCAAATAAATGATTAGACAAAATAACATTCGCTTGTAAACAAATAAAATGAGCAGAAATTAAAGAATGCTTGGAAAGTTGCCAGATTCATATATGATGATGACATTCTCATGTGATGAATAGGGAAACAGAAAAAAAAAGTTTTTAAGTGACTTAACCACCAGCACCATCAACAGCGTGTAAATGACCTGTAGGTAATATGTTTTATTCAAACTATGTGCAAATAAGACACATCACAGGCGAGAGCTTTACATTTCACAATCAGGAACACTAGTATGCTGAATGATATTTGACCTCTGCTTCTCTCTCATTTTTAAATGGGAATACATTACCCTATGATTCGTTTTACCTATTATACAGTCTCTACTGACAGGAGAAACTTTCCCCGCCCAACATCTTCCGATTGTATGTAAGGATGATTCACTGGTGCCCTCATAGTGTCATATGTCAGTTCACAGATAGTGCTTGTATTGTTGGGGCAGGAGAAGTGGGTGGAGTCAAAAGGAGAGGGGGGTCAGATGAAGAAGAGAGTGGCGGGATTAAACAAACTCCAGCTCCCACTGTTGACTGGCATGTTCCTCATTCTCTTCTCGAATCACTAAATGTTGTTTGTCGTATGTCTTACCCCCTGTAAAAAAAAAAGATAAATTAGATTGCCTGGAGAATGTTTTTAGTGTTGCCAAAATCACAAATTATGTTGAAACCCATATATTTATAAAGAAATTTAGATATTTTATATTCATAAGAGAAAGTATACACTACAGTAAGATTTAAAAATATTTTTTAAAGTTTTGTATGCTCACCAAAGCTGCATTTATTTGATCAAAAAATACAGTAAAAACAGTAATATTGTGAAATATTATTACAATAAAAAAAACTTTCTATTTTAATATATTTTAAAATGTAATTTATTCCTGTGATGTCATATTATCCTGCAGAAATAATTTTAATATGCTGATTTGCTGCTCAATAAACTTTTCTTATTATTATCAATGTTGAAAACAGTTGCTTAATGTTTTTAACAGTGCTGCTTAATAAATAAATAATATATATATATATATATATATATATTTTTTTTTTTTTTTGTGGAAATTTTAATTGTGATGAATAAAAAGTTTATAAAAAAGCAACATTTATTTTTTGATTTAATAGATTTTTTCTTTACTGACCCTTTTGATAAACTAAAGCTGCCTTGCTGAATAAAAGTATATCTTTATTTCTTTAAAAAAAAAAAAGTACTGACCCCAAAATTTAGAACGGTAGTGTATGGTGTTTATGGTATGGGTCATTACTTTTTTCAAAATTTGAATCACCTTTTAGCATAGTGTAATACTGCAGTATACAAATAAAAAAAATTAATGTATTGCTCAAAGTTTATTAATTAATGCTAGCTAACATAATTAGATTAAAAAAAGTTGATCAGAAAAATGTTGTTTGATAGATTTGATAGATTTAGATGAAGTATGGCACGACACTGCTGTATTGATGTCAGCTACCCTTACATTTTTAATTCTAAACAAAAAGCTTTAATACATTAATAGGAACAGTAATAAAATAATTTTTTTCATAATAAATAATAAAATAAATAGTTACAATATACAGTAATAAAGCTTGTGCTTTGTACATAAAGCACCAAACTATATCTTACCTTTGATATCCAGCACCATTCCAGGGAAGGTGACACTGGAAATTGTGCCGCTGACTTGAGAGCTCCATGTCTGCACTGGCACACGTGTTTCAGTCCACAGCACCACCTTAGCACCTGACTCGACATTACCCATTACCTGCAGACTCGTGGTTCGAGCCAGCTGACAAAAAGAGAGCATACGTTTAAAAAATCTGAGAGGGAGTGACTTGAAGAAGTTGTAAACAATGAATACATGCATTATTCATTAACATCATGGTGTGCAAAGTACCTTGTTTTTGATGAGCCCGTCCTGATAAAGCCAAACATCACTCATTCCCTCTACCTGCTCTGTGACGACCACGCGGCCTGTCTTCATGTCCTCAACACCACCCTGCACTGATATGTAGTGGCCTGTCTCTTTATTTTTGATGCGGAACAGTCTTTGTTTCTATAGGGATGTAAACACACAATTAAGAAATGGACATACAAAATTATCGGAAATACATAAGAAATACGCTGTGTTTTCTAGTTATCTTGTGTAAATAATTGGTCATGTGAAGGGGATACTAACTTGTCTGACTGGATACAAGGAGCCGATACAGGACAGAGAGCTGAATTTATTCCAGTTTGTGATTTCAATGGGCTCCAAAAGGAACTGGCGCCCCCTGTAGTTACTATGTTCACATAACACCCAACTGCAAAGAGATTGATGTGGTTTTAATATATATATATGTTAAAAATCTCATGCAAAATAGACATGAAACCTCAAATGTACAAATAATAAGCAGCACTGCAAACTTACCAGCCACTGTTGACCCTAACAGAGAGGAAATGTGTATTAAATCCTTCCTCCCACATGTTGTAAATCTGTGTGTCAATAGTGACCTCCCGACCTTCAAAGCACTCCAGTCCAAAGAGCGAGATTGACGGCACTGAAAAGGTCTGAAAGAGAGAACAAATGGGCAAAAAAGAGAGATACATGTAGTTAAATGTATCGTCTACGGATTTCTCATTGGGTCATGGCCCAGATCATTTGAACACATCCTTTCCAGAAACATATTAAGAAAGCAGAGTTTCTGCTCACCATTGGAACTGCTTTGACAGAGCGAATGCTGGAGTCATTTGGGATGTCCATGCTAGTCAGGTTGGGATAATCTCCTTCTGACAAAACATACATGTTTCCTGTGAACTTCTCTCCTCCATATAGCACCCAACTGAAATGAACAGAGGGATACAAATTCAGAGTGTCACAATCTGAAAGAAATATATTAACATGAATATAATGAATGTTAATGCATGGTGAATCTAATGTTTACATTTGTATGTGTATGTGTCTACATGCATTTTAGGGCTGCTGTATACTTTCACAGCTCATCCATGCATCCATCGAAACTTTGATCCTACCCTAAATTTTCTCACTAACCTTCCTCCCACCACCCTGCAGGACTTGATACTGAGACTTTCAGGCAAACAGGCCTGGTTCTGATGACACACCCTACATGTGCCCTGGAAATCCAGCTCTGAGTAGAGCAGCACCTGCAGCAAAGAGAAAGAGAGGGCAAATATTTCATTAAATGCAGTGCGTTAATGATGAAGATTTCCTTTACATACTACTGTTCAAAAGTTTAGAGTCAGTAAGATTTCAGATCAGCAAGGATGCATTAAATTGATTAAAAGTGACATTACCATTTTTTAACACTGTTAAATAGGATTTCTATTTCAAATAAATGCAGTTCTTCACTGTTTCCACAAAAATATTCAGCAAGACAACTGTTCAACATTATTAATAATAATGTTTCTTGAGCACCAAATCAGCATATTAGAAACATTTCTGAAGGATAATGTGACACCGAAGACTGGAGTAATGGCTGGTGAAATTTCAGCTTTTCCACCAAAGGAATAAATTACATTTAAAAATATATTATAAAAGAAAAAAGTTATTTTAAATTGTAATAATAGTTCACAATCTTACTGTTTTTACTGTATTTTTGATCAAATAAATGCAGCCTCAGTGAGCATAAGAGATTCAGCTCACCTCATTTCTAAAGCTGGGTCCTTCACTAGGTGCCTGGAATACACAAGAACAACCTTATTAATGAAATCAAGGACAGAGGACAACTGTTCAACATTATTAATAATAATGTTTCTTGAGCACCAAATCAGCATATTAGAAACATTTCTGAAGGATAATGTGACACCGAAGACTGGAGTAATGGCTGGTGAAATTTCAGCTTTTCCACCAAAGGAATAAATTACATTTAAAAAATATTATAAAAGAAAAAAGTTATTTTAAATTGTAATAATAGTTCACAATCTTACTGTTTTTACTGTATTTTTGATCAAATAAATGCAGCCTCAGTGAGCATAAGAGATTCAGCTCACCTCATTTCTAAAGCTGGGTCCTTCACTAGGTGCCTGGAATACACAAGAACAACCTTATTAATGAAATCAAGGACAGAATATTAAATGGAGATTCATAGGGGAATTCATGGCTATGAAATAATTCATGTCAATAAAATACTTTAATACTATTTCAGCACATTTAACATCTGGTTGAAGTGGATTGCAGATGGTTATGAAATAATACACAAGCATTTACAATGAATTACCAGATGCAAATGTTAACTAAAGAAACTGTTTAGTGATTGCGCCTCTCCAAGTTATCTAATATCTACTTTTAATGCAAAACATTTTCAACCACACACAATTTGAGTGAACAGTCCTTGCACAAAGTGTTTGGATTAGATTAATGAGTAACGAAATGCCTCTGACTTACTGTGAGGATGGGCTGTATGGAGCAGATGCGGTTGTCTTCAGAGCCCCAGTCTCCACAGTTGTTGTAGAAGCCTTTTTCCAAGACATACTGGTTACCTGAGAAATCCACATGAGAGTAGGCCACCCATCTGAGGAAAGAAAGAAAAATCAGTTCACATACTTATTAAAACGCCAGACTGCAATAAGACAATAACTCTCAGATAATGTATGCGGAAGAGCTTTATAGTTACTCAAACATCGCTACATCAAAAGATGGAGGGATTAGAACATACGCTCCACTCAGCACGTGGATGGAGCAGGTGTTGATGCCGAACCCAAACAGCTCCACATCTGGGACAACTTCTGTCACCTCAAACGTGGGCTCTTCATTCTCCACTTTCTCCTCTTCAGGCATCCCATATAACACCAGCAGGGGCTCAGACAGGTCCTACAGGAAGCAGATTTTACAGTCCAAAAATGAACGCTTGTTAATTTTGAACATCTGTTAATTTAGTTTACAATAAGATTTAATGATGAAGTGCACTAAACACCAAAATGTTGTGCAAGCTAGATTAATTCATAGATTAATTCATAAATACGTGTATTATTTATTTATTGTATTACTGTAATAAATATATATTAATATTTTCATTTTTAAAACAGATGTAGCAGTCGTACTATATTAACATAAAATAATATATTCATATTTTCTAAACTTTTCAGTATAAATATTTACATGTATTTATAGCTACTCACATACATTTTATTTAATATATTTAAAAATGTATTATATTATTGTTATTATTCATATAATTATTTGTAGTAGTAGTAGTACATTAATATCATATAAAATAGGGATGCACGATATATCGGCCACCATATCGGTATCGGCCAAAATTTTCATATCGGTGCATCCCTAATATAAAATATTAATATTTTTTTATATTATTGTTATTATTAATTGCATTATTATTATTAACACCAGAATATTGAAACAAAATAGTATGAATCTTGGTGAGATTTTATCATATACAAAAAATATAAAATAGTAAAATCTATTTTGTGTTTGTCTTACAGCTTGGATGACTCGGACCGAGCGCAGCTCTGAGTTTACTCCTCCCCACACCCGCCAGTCATGATACTCTCCCTCCTCCAGAAGATACTGGTGACCCCGGAAACCCTCCTTCTCATAGCCCACCCAGCTACAAAACAGATGGAGTAAGTCAAGCAGAAGAGAGAGAGCAATACAACAAAATAAGTCAGATACGGTCCTGTATAGTGTGTAGTAAATAGGTCAGTCCTTGCTCTCTTCCCCACTTCATTCTCAATCAAACACAAATACTTTCAGTACTCACCAGCCTCCAATAACCTTAACGGATCCTGCACTGAACATAAACAATGATTGTTGCTTGTCCACTCTTGACAGGAAATCTCTCATGCTGGTGTAGATTTCTCTGCTTTTGCCAGTGAAATATGGCTTTTCATAGAGCACAATCTGTTAAAAACAAATGATATCAAACATGAATAATCCTTGATCCTGTAAACAACACAAATTACATGACTGCTTAATTACATGGTAGCTGATGAACTTAACACTTACTTTTGGTTCATAGAGGTTCTCCACTCTAGGTTCCCCCTACGAAAAACGCTTATTAATAGACATCATTTAATTACTGGTATGCTGTGGAATCATCGATCAAAAAGGACAGCAGACTGAGGAGGAGACACTTACTATTTTAAGCGGATGTAGGGAGCCCACGTATGGATGTGTGACGCCCCAGGCGGCTGGGGTGGGGAATCCCCCGACTTCAAGCACTCGCGGGACACCCTGAAAGAAGGGCTCTGCAAACACCAACCATCTGGAGGAAATCAAACACATGATGTTAACAAATAAACACTATGATCGAGCCCAAATGGAATATATGCATGCAAAAAACTATTCTTTAGATCTGTTCTAAAATCAACATTCTCACTCCCAATTTGTCACATGTTGACGCTTGGTCAGGACCCTTCGGCGTCACTTTTTGACACATAGGGTACACCTTTAGCGTCACTTTTCAACATGCAGAGTCCTCCATTGCTTTAAATAAGAAACCTTTGGTGTCAATATGCAATAAGGCATTGGGAATTTTATCGTCATGATTAAATTATATTATATATTGGGTAATAATTTTGCCATTATTGCATATACAGTGTGTTGGGGTGTGATTTTTCAATGTAAACATTCACAACAATTGTATTTACATTACACTATTTACACATTTACGAGCACGCAACCCAACTCCTACCCCTAAACCTAACCGTTTGCCGATATAAAACATAGTATATAACAGGCAGATCCAACTACAGTCACAATTTATTCAGAATGTATTTATATTCCAAGTCTTCTGAGGCAAAACGATTGATTTGTGAGAGGAATAGATGCACGCGATCACCATCTCCATCTGCCGTAAAGCTCAGATCCTGTGTTGCAGTCTGTGAACAAATTCAAAAATTGCCTCCACAAGAAGCCTTCCGTTAGCTTTGGTTGTGAAATGCCATTGGCTCTTGTGTGTCTCGTGACCGATTGCATCGTGCTAATGTTCGAGAGTATCTTTTTAAATGAGACGTGAGTGCTTTAAGGTAGTGGGATCATTTTCAGCTATTTAAACCTTATGATTTACTCTGTTCTTCGCATTAAGATATCGTATGGCTTCAGAAGACTTGGAATGCAACACGACTTATTTGTAATAGTTTTATAAAGCTTTTTTATTGTCAGTTTTTGCAATAAATACCTGTGACTGTACTTTTATTTGCCTGTTACATGTTTTATATTGCTCAGAAGTGGGTAGGTTTAGGGTAGCAGTGGGGTTAGGTGCTCCAAAAGATCTATGAAAGTACAAATTCATATAAAATGATTTCTATTTTTGCAAATGCACGCAAACCATTAAATTTGTCTTGATCTGACGCATAAGGAAAACAGTTGAAAGCAATGGAGTATCCTGCATGTCAAAAAGTGATGCTAAAAGGGTACTCTGAACATCAAAGGCGATGCCAACGGGTCCTGACCAACCATCAATATGTGACAACTTGAGTTTGGAGTGAGAACGTGCTGCCAAAATCTGTGCAGAAAATGTCAGAAAGAGTTCTGGAATAAGCTGCACTGATCACTCACAGTCCAGCATTGATGATGATGGAGTTTGCTTTGACTGGGAAGCCAAAAATTCTGGAGTCTTCTGATGTGTCTCTGAATGTGATCTTCTTGCCTTCTGCATTTTCTTCAGGGAAAAGGCCGATTTCAGGAACGCTGTAATCCTGGAAATGTAAAAAAATGTGTTAAACCTACTGAACATTGAGGGGAAAAAACATAAAAAGGCTACTTCTGCAAGCGTGAGTTCCTAAAATGTCTGCAGAAGTCCTGCCAAAGTTTTGCTTCAGGACACAAGATGGCGCACTTGAACCTTTCATAACATAGCTATGATGTGACACTACATTTCAGTGAAACCAAAACATGATCCCATCCATCCGAGACATATTTACAAGCTACAACAATCTCGCCTCTTATGGTAAGAATATCTATGAACTTGAATTTCAGTTAACAATGAGATGACAAAAAACGACAGCAAACACAAGTCTGACATACTCTCACTGCTCGCCGTATGGATCCGATGAAGAACTTCCTCTTTAGCTGAGGCTTGGGCTCATGGTCCTCTTCCCCATGATCCTGCGTTGTTCCATTCTGCCGATCAACCACTTCTTCATCAGGTGGTCCAAATGGATTTGTCAGCTCGATGTCCCCCTCGTCCAGAGCGATCTTTTCCCCTTTGAATTCTGGCTTCTCATACAACACCCAACTTTGGAAGACAAAAGAGAGGACATAATATGAGGAACAGAACATACAACTTTCTATTCATCACAGAATCCTGAAAAAAAGTGTCAAGGTTTCCCAAAATTATTAAGCAGTACAGCTGTTTTCAACATTGATTGTATTAATAATAAATATTTTTTGAGCACCAAATCAGCATATAAGAAAAGTTTTCTGAAGGATCATATGGCACCAAATACTGTAGTAAAGGCTGATAAAAATTCAGCTTTGCCATTATAGAAATTAATTGCATTTTAAAATATATTAAAATAAAAAAGCTATTTTAAACTGTAATATCTCACAATATTATTGCTTTTAGTTTTTATCAAATAAATGCAGCCTTAATAAGCATAGCTTCTTTTAAAAATATTTAAAAAATCTTACCAAGCCGCACATACCACAATTTATGACCCTTTTTTGAAATACCTAGCCTAGTAGCTATTACCCTACTTGACTTCTGCTTGAAACACACTGACGCAAGGGTTTGACACCTGATGGAGCAAATGTTATGTTATGACACCATTTGGCAAACTACAATACAGCTGACTTTGCCTGATCGCTCAGATAAATTACGAGGGCAAACATGAAGTTGCTTATGCATAAACATAAAGCCAACTCTCTTTGAGCTGAGGGAGTGACAAAAATAGATGATACAGTGGATTTGGGGTGTTCCTATTAGTTTAAAATGTATAATTCAAAAACAGCAATTAGAAAAAGCTACATTTGTGTGTTTCTGCAGTTAATGATATTTTGCTGGAAGGCAGAGAGAGTCTGCATGTTAAGAATGATGTGGAATGTGTCTGATTCCCTTCACTAGCCAATGTGACTACATTATTTAGTGTGCATTAATATTTATTCCTGTATATTTACTGTCCTGTGTCAGTTAATATGTTGCATCATCCTGAACAGCATTATTATTTGATTACACCTATGCTTATAAAACAAGCATGACCTGAACCATTTTAATTTTTAATAACTTAATTTAAGTAATTAATATTAATTTTGGCCAATTGCTCTGTAGTTGCAGGATAATGATGCCTATTATTAAATATAAAACAAACAAACAAACAAAAACCTTTAAATTGATCAAAAGTGAAGACAGTAAAGACTTTAACAATGTTACAAAAGATTTCTATTTCAAATAAATGCTTTTCTCCTGAAAAACTGTTTTCAGCATTGATAATAAGAAATGATTCTTGAGCACCAAATCAGCATATTAAAATGATTTCCAAAGGATCGTGTGACACTGAAGACTGGAGTCATTGCTGCTGAAAATTAAGCTTTGCCAAAAACATGAAAAACTGTGCCAACCCCAAACTTTTGAAAGGTAGTGTATGTTGCCTGCAAACATATGCATCTTTAAAACTTAAGTCCCCTGAAGTGCACACTTAAAATTATTTTCAAAATATAGATCACAAGTGAGAGAAATTAAAATGATATGTGCATGCTTATATGAGCATGTCAGCTCAGCAAGGAGGTGCAGTTTGTGTTTGCCACTCACCCTCCTCTGATCACTCTGATTGAAATAGTGTCTGTAAACTCCCATGGTGTGGCATCCACAACATCACTACGCACTTCAATTCTCCCACCGGTCATTCCAGGCTTGTCATAGATTAACATCTAACAGAAAAAAGAAACAGCTTAAAAAGTTCCATCTTTTTTTACAAAGACTGCATTGTTTAATATTTAACAATCTCAACCACTAGGGGCAGCATATGTGCTAATATTGGACAAGGGACAATCATGGGACAAAACATGTCCATTCGCACTGTCCTAGTTTTGAAAGGCATATTTATTGTCTCAAAACCTTAAGGCTGCAATAATACACTGATGACTATAGTCAATGTCAGAGAAGGAAAGGACAAGAATATGCAAGAATAAGCTTGACAAGCCAGTTTCGGTGACCTTTTCTAAATCTTTTAATTTGCTTCTGATGAAGAACACAGGAATGTCAACCAAAACTAATTCAGTAGAGATGTATAATGCACATTAAAAACTATGAATTGTGAAATATATAAAATAGATGTTTAGTAAATGTCACAGAGGCAAGTTGAATCATGCATACTGGAAAAGCGTTATTGTGGTTTAATGTTCCCACCAGACAGCAATCCTGAATGAACGAATGATAAAACATGGTATTTTATGATAATATGCATAATTCTATTATACAATTAAATGTTATATGATGTATAAAATGAACTTGACATTACAGAATTTCAGATCTACGCTACGAAATCTTACATGAATGTTCTAGAAGCATGTTTCTGCCTCAGAGCTAAAAAAAAAATATATATATATAAATAAATAAATATACTGTAAACAAACAAACAAACATAAATAAAGTCACACTATGAGATATAAAGTCACCATTAGGAGATATAATCACAATCACAAAACTTCCAAATACAAAAAAATAAAAAATTGGTGTGAGTGTCAGTAGGCTCCTAACAATTCATAATCCATCATTTCTTTTAAAAATCATTTGATAAAGGACATCATGTCATTTGTACCTCTCTTTTTATAATCCTTTACTGTCCAAACGTGTATTTGGCAGATGAAGTGGGTCTAAATCTGCACTGTGCACTGCGGGGCTGTTACACACCCACTAATCTCTCTCACCTGTTCTTAAATACCAGCCTCAGGCTTTCCCACTTTTTAATATAATGAGCACATGCAGTAGAGCGAATATATGCAGGGCTTGGTTTGGCCTCATCAGATTCATTTAATATCAGTGAGAAAAGAAAGGACAGTTGTGTGAAATATCTCACCTTCCCAGGCCGAGGATTGAGCTTTCCATGATCCTTTTCTTTTGTGAGCTGAAAAAAAAGAAAAAAAAGAAGAAATATTTAAATGAGATGAAGCCTCCTTCAAATAAATGCAGATATACACACAGTGCATAACTTCTATTTTAAGAAAGCATTACAATTAAATTATTCAGAGTATGTTTGCACTAGTGGATAAGTAAAATATTATGCTATTATGATAAGATCAGTCAGAAATCACAGCGTTACAAACACTATCAGACATTCAGTTCAAAACTATGTTACATGAATTTAGGATAATTAAATGAATAAATCATATTCAGAAGAAGAAACAAATTTTACTGAAATCTATATCCCTTGATTAAAATCCCCCAATTAAATTCTAAGGTCCAAAATAAATTTCAACATTCTTGCTATTAATTTTTTCATCTTCAATCCCCTCTGTACTGGTGATGGTGGTAATGTTTGGCATTTCAGCATACAAACAGATCACCTTTGGTTTTTAAAGGAAACACTACACTCCTAAATCTAACCTTTGACAATAGAAGAACAAGTACTTTACACAACACTTGATGTTTCTACCTCTCAAAGTCACATGCAGGAAGATGTGAGAGGTTCACGGCCTTATTGTCAACCAGACTCTTTCAAAACAGCACTGGAATGCAGCAAAAATTTACTGATTGGTGTAATGCCTGTGTTTAAGACAAGCTGTTTGAAATGCTTATTATACTTAAGAGTTCCTCAGGGAAACTACAGTATATACATGAGGGGAAACAAACTGAGAATGACATCTGCAGATCTGCTGTTATCATCTATGCTAAAACAAACCGTTGGCATTTGAAATGGAAATCAAGAGGTCAACGTATCAGGTGTAAAAGGTTCTCGTATGGATTAATGGCTTTTGATGAATGCAAAGTTTTTACAATGCATGTCAAGATCTCATTGTTTGTAAATGCCACATATTTATGCATGTAGGAGGTGATGAAAAGCCCTTCCCAGACTTTGCAGAGCGACATGCCTTTGCACTTACAATGAGGCATGGCAAGGTTAGAAGAGAGACAACATTACACAAGAGTCCAAGTCAAATTCCTCTGTTTGCATATGGGGATGCTCTTAATGAAAAGTCAAATACATGAGTTACATAATGCAGATGCTATAAAGCTACCTCTATAAACCTACCTCTATATGTCATCCTCACTGTCAGGCATTGTGAAAATATGTTTTCCAGAATGTCAGAATATTTCAAATATGCATAGTGAAAAAGGTTGTGAGATGCAGTCGGTATCTCTACAGCCGATCTATCAACTCAGTGGAACAGTGAATGTGACATCTTATAGATATCTAACCAAATTATGCATAACTGCTTAAAATGTACCTACTTTTGTTTGGGGTGGGTCTTACTTTTAACTTCTGGCTATAATTAAACCTTTAAAAATGGACCTTTAAGAGAGCCTTTTGTTGGTGGCTACATTATTAATACGAAGGACTGTTTACTCCTAGAATCCAGCAGGAAACTGAAAATCAGTCTATATAGCCTATAGGGTCTCCACAAACTGATATGTGTGGAGCATGAAGGTGACATAATTGTTTTCTCTATATCTGTTCCAATTAGGGCTGTGCAATTAATCGAAAAACTGTTTCGATTTCGTCCTCCAACGATTATGAAAATACAGTAATCGAGATAAAACGATTATTGCGCCCCATTCCGCCCCCTTTTCCAGCGCTGCGCTTTCATTCCTTCATAAAAGCCCAATTGCACGTGCAAATCAGAAGAATCATGTAACGTGACTTTTGCAAAATGGGACGTGCTTGATTTATAGAATGAATGTGAAATGTGAAAAAGAACTTGCGCTGCTGCTCAGAAAAGTATATGCGCTCAGAGACGGAACAGAACACGGACATGTAAAGTCATCTTTTAGCTCAAGGTGCATGCCTAAACGGTCAAATACACGCAAAAAAAGGAGGATGATTTAATGTTAATAAAATTCACAATTCATTTCAGTTAATTTCTCAGAATGTGTATTTTTTGTTTGTAATTTCACAGTTGTAATACCATAACGTGAAAGCGCCGCTTTTCTATCGCGAATGTGCCGAATCTGCTGATGTAATTATAACTGCTAATGATAGAGAAGGGTAGGGGGAGGCTGGGGGAGAGGCGAACTAGCATGCCTCCGTTAGTAAACAAAATTAGCCAATCACCATTGAGTGTTCACTTTCAGCGCTGAGGAGTGTTGAGAAAAGAACCCTCGCAAGGGAGGCTAGCCTCCTTCTGATATCAACCAATCATCAAAGAGACGTAAATTACGTGATATTAGTTTGAACGTCTGCCGCTGTGCTGATAATGTACCAAGTACTTATGATGAGTAGCGATATTGAATATTTAATTGCCAACAGATTTACCAAGCTGTCATTCAAACAGTATATACAAATTTAAAAAAGCTTAATTAAATGGCGCAACAGGCAGCTCTCTTTTAACACAGACTTTTAAGAAGGGATGGATGTTTGCTTCAAGTGATAGACCAGGTAAGTGAAATTATAATATCTTGCTGTATGTATGTCGTTTTCTTTAAGTTTTATGACTAAAAGCAACCAAAAAGCCATTTTAAAGTGGTTAAGCAAATAATAATAATAATAATCGGCAGGGATCCCAGACCAATACAATTAGTGTGCCTCCTCTATTTTAAAACCCACGAGCCGCCACTGAGCAGGCCTAGGCTGTAAACTGCTTGAGAGTTGCATAAAAAACATTGAAGCACAGATTGTTTCATTTGTATCTTTTTATTCTATTGGTTTTGTCCTTTGCTTTTTTATTACTGACAGTTTAATTATTTTCAATAATTTTGAGGACTTTTTGTTTGTTTGTTTGTTTGAAATTCCGCTGGTCTCTACAATGTAGATGTCATTGCAACCTTATTAACAGGAAATCTATATTTGATATGTATCACTATCTTTAAATAAATCACTCATATAAAGTTTTGGTCATGGCCCCCTCATAATCGTGTTAAATAATCGTGATTACAATATTGGCCAAAATAATCATGATTATGATTTTTGCCATAATCGAGCAGCCCTATTTACAACTGGCAAATTTACAGTAAACCATTGCCAACCCAAAGAAGGGTGTGTCTGAGCAGGACTCGACCTAGCCTGTCTTGGAAAATTATCAAAGCTAATTAGAGGAGACAACAAGATAACAAATAGCATCGCATTCCATCAGCCTCTCCTTCTTTCCCTGCCTACTAACAAGAGCCCCAGGGACGACCTGTTCTACTGATACCATTTCTGACCTCTCCTCAGAAAGTGCCAATTCAGCTTGATTATTCCTTACTCTCTTAAACCAGCCTAATTATATAGAGTTTGGCATTATGAAAAGATATAATTTCAAGAGGGACATTGCTCTATGCGTAATTACAGGAAACCAAAAAGTTTGCTCTTTCATTGAAACCTGAACTATTATTATTTAGGGGGTTTGCATATTATGATATCATTACATGCGGGACAGGAAGTATGATGCTCCTGTAAATGGGCTTATGTGGCATCAAGTAACAAGTATAAAGATTTTTGCATATTGAATTTTGATATAGAGTTGGATGTGGGTTGAACTGTCAGATAACGCAACATCTCACTTTATGTCAACACAGAGCAAGAGCAGTATGACGTGAATGACAGAGGTCAAGCTGTGTTTTACAGTGGATGTGTGATCATTTGAAGTTACTCCCTAGTGACAAACCTCTTATATCTAAATCATAAAAGTAATTCCCTTAGTAACATTAATATCATGTCACAGAGAAATGAACTTTCTTCACATGATCAAACTTGTGAGACATTTTAAAGCCTTATATGCTGAACCCCGATATATACTGTATATATATGGATCAGAGAAATGTCTAGCAGATGAAAGTGTACACGATTCCTTTACCAGCTGAAGGTTGCACCTTCCCATAGTAACTATAAACCTTAACCAAACTACAGTTTTGGTGAAGTTGTTGTGGTTAAAATCAAAATTTGACTTGCAAACTCAGGCTCTGTTCAGTAAAGAGAAGCAGTAATAAAAAAAAAAGACTCTACAGAACTGCTCAATGTCTGTTTTGGAGGACAAGAGGAAACGTGAATATTGCATGAGGACTGCGGTAATGTATACTCCCTTCAATCTCTATTGTAAACCCTTCATGGTGAGGTGACATAACACCCCTTCTAGCCTTTCATTCACTGAGGTTTAAGGTGCTCAATCCAACCCCTGAAGAGTCTTGCAGAGTTTTTTTTTTGGAGAGTTTAGTTCCAACTCTAATGACACAGACAAAATTCTAGCCAGGTATGTGGGTACAATGAAGGAGGGTTGGAACAAAGCTCTGCAAGATATCCAGGAACAGGGCTGAGTAGTCTAGGTTTAGGGCATCCCACACCTGAACAGGTCTAAAAACAAAGCGCATCAGACATTTGAAGTCTAAAACAATCCACATACTATGTTAAACAATGCTTGGTGTAAGTGGTTTCATATCAGGATACACTAAGAGGTTGACTAGGAATGGGAAAAACAGAGCAGTGACATAATACGAAAACAACACTCTCATTGAATCCATGCCCTCATTCTCAGAGTAGTAATCTTCACCTTGGCACCCTTTTGCTCTCCATTTTAAAAAGACTTTACTGTTGTAGTGCCTAAGTGTTTGATGTAAATGAAGATACCAACAATGCCAACATGTATTGTGACAAAGCAATACTCACATATGCATCAGGGAAGGCCCTGTATTTGAGGAGTATGTTCCGCTCTGGTTCTGGCTTTTGATTAACTTGGAAGCTCTTGGTGTCATTCATTAGAAGACCTCCGTCAAGACTACTGCTGCGCTGAAGACCCAAAGGTTGAGAGTTCTTGAGGAGAGTTTCGGAGGGCAGAGAGCGGTAAAGTTCCATAGTGGACTTGTGGTCGAAACTGGAGGTATCTTGCGAGTTTTGTTGGACAGATGGAGTCACGCTTATTCGAGAAGTTTCAGTGATCCCACTAAGGGAATTTGATGTAGAAGTGAGGTATGAGAAGCGCTCGAAACGGGAACTGAGCAAGGTGTCAGATCCCTTGGTGGCTGAGCTTATTCGCTCTTGACTAGGGCTGATCTCAGGGAGAGATGCTGCACGGAAGATGGAGCGGTTTGAGGCCTTGTCGTTCTCTGTTGGCTGGAAGAAGAAGCTGTTCTCCAGGCGAGATGAGCCTCCATTTATGAGTCCTTTTGTAGAACTCTCTTCGGGACTCAGCTCGTTGAGTGAGCCCCTGCGCATGACCATGCTGTTGAGGGCCGAAGCTCGCAGAGGCAGGGAGAGCCCCCGATTCGGGGTCTCTCCGAGCTGCTTTTCCTTCATCATGGTCAAAGGAGAACGCATGTCCTTGGGGGAACTCCAGTTAAGGCCAATGTCTAGAGGTAAGCTAGAAACTCCATTCAACAACTTTGGCTCAGTAATAAGTGAGACTGGAGTACGAAGAGAGAGTGGAGTAGGGGGTGAGATTGGTGCATCCTCTTCAATAGGTGGCAGTGAAGAGAAGTGTTGGATTGTTGGAGTGTTGGATGGGGTGCGTTGAACCCTTTGCCGGGCCGGTCGCTCCATGCTCTTAAGAGTGTCTACCAGGTTATCCATTTCTGAGAAAGATGTGGAAGAAAGAGTGTCAGGTTCAGGGCCAGTGGGTGAGGGAATCAGCTCTACCCGCGTAGCTTGGAAAACATCAGAGGAGTAGTCATCTGCCTCCACGATCATCAAGCGGGAATCGAAATGTGCCTGTGAGTCAAAGACTGTTTTTCTTATCTCCTGCTCTCCCTCTCCCTCTCTCACGACAGGTAAACTAAGCTCCACCCTGCTCCTCCCACTAGTGTAACTCTCACTCCTCTGCTGAACTTCGCTCTCCACAACTTTCCAGTTACTGTTGCCAGGGCTACCATTAGTCTCTGAGGAGAAAGCAGTATGCTGGGTCTCGGGAGAGTGAAAATGAGACATGTAGACTCCTTTTTCATAGCTGGGGGACAGTTGAGAGGAATGCAGGTATGTGCTATCTGTGAATGTGTAGTCTGAACTCCTGAACTCTCTGGATTGCTTTTCTTCAGAGTTGGAATGGAGACTTTTCCACCTCCTCTCAAGCTCAGGACTGGCTCTGCTGCTCTGCTTCTGATCTCTTAGCCTGATGCTGTCCAATGGCCTTTCATGGTTCCCAAAGTTGCCCTCTTTGTCAATGCTGACCAGGGACACTTTGCGGACCACCATGGTATCCTCTCTGCCTTCTCGAGAAGATGATGGTCGACTGAGCTTTGTACTTAGCACCGAAACACCAGAGTTCATGTCTGTATCAGATCCAGTCTCAGTTTCCACTTGGTTTACTGTTTCTGACTCGTCAATCACTGTACTGAGAACAGTGGATGCATGAAAGAACCTAGAACAAAAGGATGAAAGTGAAATAGAAAAAAAACATCAATCCTTTAATCATCTTTTTATAATGATACTCAGCACACATTTCAAAGCTACTGTGTTGTAAGTCAAACATTAAAATGTAATTAGAAGGGACTACAAAGCTGCTGTGTCACAGTATTTGACTATAATACACCTGAGGTCTATGCCCAATAAATATGGAGAACCTTGGCATCTGTAGTTTTAAGAACGAATTCTGTTCATGTGATAAGGAATTTGAAGCTAGTTTGAGTCATGAATCCCTGAATAAATACATTCATATTTGAAGTAAAGCATAAAAAAGCACAAATGGAAGCCAGATCATGCAGGGTATAATTGTCCCTTTCTATGGGAGTGTATTGCAATGTGCGTAGGTGAGTTTCTTGAGAAACGACATGTTAAAAGGGCACTTCAAAATGAATCACAGCTTTAATCACACGCACCATACAACAGTAAAAAGATGAGTGGAACTTCAGAATCTATATCACATGAAGTTTTACTAATGGAACAGATTACATATGTAATCACTTTACAACATTAAGCATGTAACAATAACAGTAAATATAATCAATAAATATGTAAATGTGTCAATTGCTTCAGTAATCAGGGCATTGCCTTCTGGTTACAGAGCAAGTGGCATCTGTGGTGTTGCCTTTTTCAACATGATGTATAAAGATACATCATGGTCAAAGGAGAACGCATGTCCTTGGGGGAACTCCAGTTAAGGCCAATGTCTAGAGGTAAGCTAGAAACTCCATTCAACAACTTTGGCTCAGTAATAAGTGAGACTGGAGTACGAAGAGAGAGTGGAGTAGGGGGTGAGATTGGTGCATCCTCTTCAATAGGTGGCAGTGAAGAGAAGTGTTGGATTGTTGGAGTGTTGGATGGGGTGCGTTGAACCCTTTGCCGGGCCGGTCGCTCCATGCTCTTAAGAGTGTCTACCAGGTTATCCATTTCTGAGAAAGATGTGGAAGAAAGAGTGTCAGGTTCAGGGCCAGTGGGTGAGGGAATCAGCTCTACCCGCGTAGCTTGGAAAACATCAGAGGAGTAGTCATCTGCCTCCACGATCATCAAGCGGGAATCGAAATGTGCCTGTGAGTCAAAGACTGTTTTTCTTATCTCCTGCTCTCCCTCTCCCTCTCTCACGACAGGTAAACTAAGCTCCACCCTGCTCCTCCCACTAGTGTAACTCTCACTCCTCTGCTGAACTTCGCTCTCCACAACTTTCCAGTTACTGTTGCCAGGGCTACCATTAGTCTCTGAGGAGAAAGCAGTATGCTGGGTCTCGGGAGAGTGAAAATGAGACATGTAGACTCCTTTTTCATAGCTGGGGGACAGTTGAGAGGAATGCAGGTATGTGCTATCTGTGAATGTGTAGTCTGAACTCTCTGTGAGTCTGGATTGCTTTTCTTCAGAGTTGGAATGGAGACTTTTCCACCTCCTCTCAAGCTCAGGACTGGCTCTGCTTGGCTCTGACTGATCTCTTAGCCTGATGCTGTCCAATGGCCTTTCATGGTTCCCAAAGTTGCCCTCTTTGTCAATGCTGACCAGGGACACTTTGCGGACCACCATGGTATCCTCTCTGCCTTCTCGAGAAGATGATGGTCGACTGAGCTTTGTACTTAGCACCGAAACACCAGAGTTCATGTCTGTATCAGATCCAGTCTCAGTTTCCACTTGGTTTACTGTTTCTGACTCGTCAATCACTGTACTGAGAACAGTGGATGCATGAAAGAACCTAGAACAAAAGGATGAAAGTGAAATAGAAAAAAAACATCAATCCTTTAATCATCTTTTTATAATGATACTCAGCACACATTTCAAAGCTACTGTGTTGTAAGTCAAACATTAAAATGTAATTAGAAGGGACTACAAAGCTGCTGTGTCACAGTATTTGACTATAATACACCTGAGGTCTATGCCCAATAAATATGGAGAACCTTGGCATCTGTAGTTTTAAGAACGAATTCTGTTCATGTGATAAGGAATTTGAAGCTAGTTTGAGTCATGAATCCCTGAATAAATACATTCATATTTGAAGTAAAGCATAAAAAAGCACAAATGGAAGCCAGATCATGCAGGGTATAATTGTCCCTTTCTATGGGAGTGTATTGCAATGTGCGTAGGTGAGTTTCTTGAGAAACGACATGTTAAAAGGGCACTTCAAAATGAATCACAGCTTTAATCACACGCACCATACAACAGTAAAAAGATGAGTGGAACTTCAGAATCTATATCACATGAAGTTTTACTAATGGAACAGATTACATATGTAATCACTTTACAACATTAAGCATGTAACAATAACAGTAAATATAATCAATAAATATGTAAATGTGTCAATTGCTTCAGTAATCAGGGCATTGCCTTCTGGTTACAGAGCAAGTGGCATCTGTGGTGTTGCCTTTTTCAACATGATGTATAAAGATACAGTTCATAACTCTTACCTGAAAAAAATAAATAAATAAATAAAACACATTGCAATGTAATTTATCACTATCCTCAAAAGTGATGTCTCTTCATCAACTTTGTAGTAATGCATTTTTACCTGACATAGCAAATATGATTAATTGATTTGGCATTATGATGGCACTATTAAAAACAAGAATAGGGCATTTTGCACTATTTAAGAGTATGGGTCACTATACTTGGCCACATGTCACGTCACTTCACTTCACTTAATTGATATTAAAGAAATAATTACTTATAATTTGACTAAAGGCAAGACAGAGACAATATAAAGAGGAAGTGTCACTTCATATGATGAAGAACAGAGAACAGAGAAAAAACTTGCTACATGTCATGTAGTTAATTTTCCATTGCATTTAGCCCTGAGACACTTAAAGGGAGAGATATCAAGTTATATCAGTTGGCAGAACTAGTCACTCCGGATCATCTACAGTACATCACACCCCCTGGTGGTAAAGCTGAGCCTCACATTCCATCTTTGGTCCCCTGCAATTTAAGATATAATCGACAGATTTGAATAAAAATTCGTAGAAATGCACTCACTAGCTATACTGCACCACCATACACACCTGTGTAGGAGATTCTGGGCCTACATATTTACATATTAGTTCAGGTGTTTCCAGAGCATTTTGTCTACATTCTGAAAATTGTTGTGGCTCTGATGGCCAAGCTCTGTTTTGTGGTTATTTGCATGTGTTCACCAAACAAGCCTCACTGGAGAGATACAATAACTTGAAACAAAACATTATTGCCCAAATACAAGTGTTTTTTCAAGCTGTCCGTTTAAGTTACATTGATTCTCTTACAGCCTTTGATTTAGAGGTCAGGTGAATTAGGAATGTAGGTGTTTGTGTGTTTAGCCAATTCACATGCTATGTGACACACCAGCGAGATCTGTAATTGTCCCTGTCAGTTAAGGTGTAGCTTAAAGTCTCCATTTCACTTTAATAGAAATGGCATCTATAATTGCCGACTGGTCCCTAACAAGCATTTCTGAGCATTTACACAAACACTTACATGACCATTCTAGACTGTGGGAAAACTGCCTAGTGAACTGACTGTTTCAACCCAGCAAATCCTGCTACAGAGCATGTCTGTTTGTTAAAAACCATGATCAATTCAAAGGTCTGTGTTCCAGATATGATGCAATACCTCCCCACTATGAGTATAATTAAATTTGGGATCTATCAGTGATTCTATCTACAAGATTACTTCAAATGTAATATTATAATAATACAATTGTTCAAAATGTTTATATTGTTATAGTATATACATGACTTGTGCTAAGTGCATGCTAAGGATTAGACAATGTGTCAGCACTCATTCCCAAATGAACATGCATAACACATTTGCTCAAAGGTAAAATAATATTAACTTTACATCATTTAATTTACATTTCTTGAAAGGCAGATTTAAAAAGTGCATATGCCCATATAAGAATAATGTCCAATCCATTTTTACAACTTCATGAGCACATTCTACTGACAATCATACTGTTCTCGGAAATCTCTGGTTCATTCTTGATGGAATGTTCCATAAAGCTGGTCTGAGTCAGTAATCAAAAGGGGGCGGAGCTTAACGAAGGGTCATTTGTAGTAAATACTTCATCAGACTCATTTTCGACAGTTTACTATAATAATTGAAGGGATTATTTCAGCTTTTCCAGACCAAAAAAAGGAACATCGGAATTTCCATAAAATCGCCCAAATATAAACCAGGAAATTAATCTCAAATAAGGCTCATCTAAGTATGTGTTATCTTTTTTTTTTTGTGCTAAATGTCAAAACCAAAGTTAAATAACACATTTACACTTCCAGGCAAAAACATTTAACATTCTATTCATAACATATCTGATGAGACATGTTAGGAGACTGACAGCACTGATAACAAGGTTGAAGCTAAGAATATACAAATATATCATCCACATACTAGGCATTGCTCAGGGCTACAAGTATGTGCACTGATTTTTGCATTGAAACACATTCCCACTGCTGTTGCTGCCTATAATTTGTTTTGTAACTAATTATTTACTTGACAGAATATTTGGCAGGGTGTCTGAAAGATTGGATTGACAATGTCATGTAAATCTTGTAAATTCACATTCACATTCAGAGGCTGAAAAATAAAACCAAACAGAAGTTAAGTGAATTGAACTAAACTGAACAGTGTAACTGAATGAAATACATATATTCCCACGAACAAAAAAGTGCTGATGCGCGTCTCTGATGCATGGAATAGCATCTTTACAATAAGGTTGAAATTGAAAGCATTAAATACTGCATTAAATATCATGAAATATCAATAAAAATAATTGCATTTATGTAGGTTTATGTTAATTTATAAATATAATATTTTTCTCTGTTAAATCATGTTTGTACAAAATACATTAATGTAATGTTAAAAATGTACTAGCATCTGTACAAATGAACATCATGTTAGCCACTGCATTTAACTGGCACACAGGCATAAAATAAGCATTACCAATTGCAAAGTGCAGTATGCAAATCCATCAGCCACATTCCTGGTGGTTATACTTGTTTGCCTAAGCATTCAAGAGGATCTCAGCTGTTTTGGCATTGGCCTTCATTCATGAGGGCTATTTCAAGAATGTGTATCATCAAGTATGAGTCAACAGCATACTTTGAACTACCTTACATTCCTTTAGCAGCCCATCCCATTCAAATGTAGAACGTAGAGATGTGGGGTTGCGAGTGGGTGAGGCTTTGATAAACCAGTCCCTTCTTGGGATAAGAACTTCAACCTCACTTACAAAAGAATTTGAAGTTCATCTTAACTAATCTAAAAGAGACAGAATAATCATTCTGTATATACTCCATGAAAAACAATGAAACTGGCAGGGAGAGAAACAGAAGCCAGAATATAAAGTTGCTGAACACTTGGAATAAGAAGGGCGCTGTACATAAACAACTTTGTGCTCATATCCATCTCCCATAATTTGACTTCATCTCATATATCCCTTTAATCATAAAAATTAACAACCATAAACAAAGGCACTTCATATAATAACCCCTTTTTTAATATCTTGTTCTATACTTTTCTTCATTTCACTTTTGTTCTAGCTTGAGCACACACTCATACTTAAAACTTGGCATAGTGTACTGCAAATATTGATGACCATCATGAGAAACTGCTGTGTGATGTGAATCACTTTAGGGGTACATTGCGGTCAGAATTGAGGGGTTACATTTGTCTGTTCCCCACGTGAAAAGTGTGTAATTCAAGCAAGATAAGCTGAACTGATTTTGCATCTTCTATTAAACTATGTATAAATGAATGCATGAATAAAATAATTAAAAAATATATAAAAAATTATATTTATAAAAACAGAAATATTTATATATATGTATATATATATATATAATACATAATGCACTAAATTGTATATATATATATAGATAGATAGATAGATAGATAGATAGATAGATAGATAGATAGATAGATAGATAGATAGATAGATAATAATTTTAGCTGTGCATTTATATATAAAAATATCTCTAAGTATTTACATCAGGTTTTTAGATCAATACATTACATTTCAAACAGTACACCAATATACACATACAAATTGCATGTAGATTTAAAATTAGAACATTTTGTAGCTCACCTTTCACCTGTTATTAAACTTCTTGAAAGTAGCTGATCAGGAACAGTGTTAACTTCTGCTGTATCTTCCTTTTCTCTTTTGTTGTCTGGTGTACATTCGCTGATTTCTACCCAGCTCCTGTGAGTGATATTATCTCTGGCTTTCTTTACCTTTGTCACTGTCACATCTCCCTGTTTGTGGCTTGGGAGAAATGTGGCTATATCCTCAGTCTCTTCACCGCTGGTGTGTTCCTCCCTCTCAGCGTGGTGGTTATCAATGCTTGCTTGGTATTTGCACCTAGCCGTGTCCTCCAGTATTGTTATCGCTCCGCTCAACTGGTGTGGGGCCAAGGGGTGGAGACAAATCTCCAGGTGACTGTGTGTTTCCATGCTTGAATCTGCAAGTGATACCTTCACAGGCCCAGAGAAAGGAGGGGCCGAAGTGCATTCTTCAGGGCTACATTCTTGATTGACTGGTAGGGCTGGTTTCAGTGGAGCAAGATGGTGAATCTGCTGCTCTGCTTGAACTGTCAACACTTCGGTGCCTCCGCATACCTCTGCTTCCATTGCACCTTGCGTTGCAGATGCTTCTCTTGTGCTCTGGACCATTTTCAATTCATTTCTCTTCTCTTCAACCAACTCATATGTTTCAGAAACCTTGTAATGTATCATTTGCTCTTGTGATAAAACATCCATGATTTGCTCTGATCCGGTGTCTTTTTCTAGATTCGATGGAGCTACATACTTCTCATCATAAATGTCACCTAATTCACTTTGTTCCTCAACTTCTTGGCCATATTTCTTCTTTACAGATATGTGAAAGTCATTTTCAGTGTTCATACTCTCAGCTGTGGTTTCAGCCTGGCCTTCTATGATCTGCTCTGATTCAGGGTCTTGAACAAATGTAATGTCATGATTTTCATTATAGATATCATCTAATCTACTTCCTTCCCCCACTTCTGGTCTACATTTGTTCTGAATGTTATTTCCAGTAGTCAGAACTGCTGTGGTTTCAACCTGGTCAATCAACTCATGACTTACTTGAGTAGATGCCTCCTGAACATCTTCCTCAGGATCTTCATACTCTTTGAATGTTTTCTGTTGTGTGTCTACCTCTGTCTTTGGGGTTTGAGAGCTGAACAGCTGGTCTGAAACATCTAAGTGAGGGGGAGGATGAATTATGAAGGCATTGGTCGATTTAGCTTGATCATTCTCCTGACTTATTTGCTCTTGTTCTGATATTTCAGTTAGGGTTTCCACATCTGAATAAGACATATTGTTAGAGAGACCTCTCTGGGAATGGTCAGGGCTGGTGGGGTCTGAGGGACCTGAAAGGTCAAAGGTGACAGTTGACTTCATGATGGTGTAGGTTCTTGACACAGCTGACTGAGGTAAAGAGATATTTGACTCATTCTCAAGAAGGACAGGTTCAGCAGGGCTAGGTTTCACTGAGCCAATGGCATTTGTCAAGGAAAAATCATTGTTTGTTTCATACGATTCCATTGAAATGGTCTCATAATTAATCTTAGGGTGAGATTCTTTCAGTAAAACTGAATCTGAAGTGGAATGTACAGTGATTGTGGGTAAACTCTGAGGTATTGAACTTAAATCACTTTCAGAAACATCAGTATTGGAGAGAGATACAATTGGCTTTTTATCAGTATCAGCATCCAAACTGTTATCTGTGGTTTTGGAGGAGGAGAAAGTGCTAGATACAATCACATCTGGCATAGATGAAACCATATCAGCAATGAAGGGGTCAGTGTTGACTACATCACCGTTGCTGGCAGACGTGTTTCTGTTATTTGCAGTGCTGGTTTGAGAATCTTCTGCCTCAGTGGGTATAATGTAAGGTGGAAGACTGGAGGAATGTTCTGGAAGGGTATCTGCAGAATATGAGTTTAAGCTGGAACTCTGGGTCACAGTATTGTTTGATGTGAAACCATCAAGGATGACAGAGGTGGTATTTTGGGGGATGGAAGAGCCAAAACTTTGGGGGGTGGAAGAAATGGAACTTTGGGGAATGGAAGAGATGGAACTCTCAGGCATGGAAGAGCTGGAACTCTTGTGGATAGAGAGGATGGCAGAGGTTACATCTTTTGATTCTTTACGTTCCAGGTGTGACTCTTTTTGAAAAAACATTTCGTCTTTGTTAGGAGTAACATATGTGGTAAAGGTGTTGACCTCAACATCTGTTGAAATTCCTGATTTAGATGTTTCAAAATCAGAGAAAGGATGATCATCCCTAAAAGAAACACCACTCGGGTTTAGATCTATGTTTGATTTATGGACTAAGCATGTGACTGTACTTGCCGCAGTTTCCATATTCGGAGCAGGACTGAAGGAGTCAGTAATTTTAGACTCAGGGTTGGAGTACTGAACAGATTTATCTGCAGATGGGCTATCTGGGGGTGTCTGGTAAGCATCACTATCAGACAGTGAAGAGTCAATATATGGTATCGATGTACTGTCCAGATTTGAAGGCATAAAACCTGCATCCTCCTTATCAGGCTTAGACATGTCACTCAGGATATTCTGGGACTGGGATTGGTCAGAGGTACAGGAGGGTTCTGGTGTAGGTACTGCTGTCTTCAAACCAACCTGGTTTTGTTCTGTTTCTACCGGGATGTCAAATTCTTCCTGTTCACTGATGCGATCCTTGACCCCTGGGACTCCACTATTGCTTGAAAGTCCCTGGGATGGATCTCTTTTCTTCTTCTTCTTCCAGGATAAGGATACAGCAAAGCCCTTGGATTTACGGAGGTCACTCTCTGAGTAACTCAGCTGTTCTTTCTAATAAAAAAATGAAAGGAATAGAAAGTCAGAAAATAAAGTATAGAAAGTAAAAAAAGAGGTGAAAGGGAGAATTGATGCAATAAAAAAGAGAAAGAAAGAGGACAAAGATTAATGATAATGAACATTTACATAAAATTAATAAAATAATATAATATAAATATGCGTTCATATGCATCTGTATTTTGTTGACATTTAAATATGTCACAAATACACAGTATATACACAGGTTCTTGCAAGTTAACTCAAGAAACATTTTATGCCTCATAGTAACCTGCCTGATTTGCATTTTCTAAAGACTTCTATTGGCACGAGAGGTATGAGACGATGATTCAATGGAAAGAGCTTTTTGTTACTAAACTATTCATGAAACACCCTACTATCTTAGTTTTATTTACTGAATGCGATTTAACCACTTTCATTAATGACAAAAAAGAGCATTGACTACAACACAGTGGAAGCACAAAGAAAACTGTATTTGTTGTTAAACATCAAATTTAAGTTTTAAATTAATCATAATTGAAACCTAAAACTGCAATTTGTTACAATGGCATTTTTATATAAACAGTAACAAGCAAGATGAAGAAGAGCAAAAAAGAAGAAAGTCATATTAATCAAAGAAATAATCGACAGATTAATAGATCATCAAAATAGTTGTTAGTTGCATATCTAGTAATTTAGCCACAACCATGTGTTATCACCATAATTCATATTTATCTCCTTGGGAAATTACATCTTGTTCAGCTGTCTGGTGAAATATGATAAGTCTGCTGCTAAAGTGATTCAGTGTTCCATCTGATAACATTAGAGGATGAAATGACATGAAGTGAGATAGAGAGAGATGTGTCGGTGTGTGTCATTCTGGGTGGAGGCCCTTGTATTCCTTGAACTGTGGGTGGTACAGTTCAAAATGACCATATCTGCAGGTCATCAGTCAACCTGTCATATAACTCAATCAATCAATACTGTTCACTGTTCTTATGAAATGCACATCTCAGTCTCAGTTTTTTAAAATGACACACAGTATATACTGAGCATAGCATCTTTGATGACAAACACAACACGTTTTTGCGATACTGAATCTGATGTAAAACATCTGAAGACAGACCTTAATTACATGAAAAGCGATATACATTATCCAAGCACATCATGTCAACTTTTAACCTGCTGGAATTACACTAATGAGCTTTCGACATGGCTAATGCATGCTATCTGCTTTTTATGGAAGAGTTATGCTTATCTGTGTCATAAACAATGGCATAAATCAAAGTCACTGTGTGAAATAACAAGATAAAAGTAATGACGTTATGTTTATGATGATATGACTCCAAAAGCAACCTAAAGCAGCTAAACATGGAAGAAGAAACCTTACAGGCATTTGCTCATATAACTTTCTGAAGAACTGCTGAAAGCTTAACCTGTCAACACTATGAACACTTTATTGTGAAGCCATTGTGGATTGTTCAGCCACAATAAACACTCACACATTCATGTACATACACATGCAAATAGCTCTACCTGCTGGTCAACTAAAAAAAAAAAAATCCAAATATATATATATATATACACACTGTGTATATATATATATATATTTTTTTTTAAACAATGAAATACATACATAAACTTAATACTGTTTAAAAAAATACTCTTAAAAAGTACTCTTTAAAAATTACTTGTAAGCCAGATTACATATGACCCAAATTTAATACTGACCAATAAACATACACTAACACAGCTCCATCTTGTCGGTGAATCAAGAAGCAATAGTTACAAGTTATAGATTTTATAGATAGATATAGTTATACATTTTAATAAAACCTTAAATTAAAAAAATATATATATACAATCAACTAAACCAATAACAAAATACTGAATAGATTACATTAAGAATAATATAAGAATATTATTCTTAATGTAAAATAAGAATATGTTATAAAATTGCTTGGTTCGATCAGTGTTTTAGAGTATACTCGCTTATATATGGCCTTAAAGGCTTATAGACAGACTCATGAGTCTTTAAAAAAAAAGGGACAGGACTGAAGCAAGAATAATAAATATGTACAGCACCATTCAAAAAGAGGCCCCCTCCTGTTTTCCACACAACCCAGTGCTCCTAAATGACATTCAGCACAATTCGCCTTAATCATCTGTATCCCTAATCATGTTTGTGCATGTCTTCCGTGCAAAAAAAGAATGCATATTAATTTCTGGACTACTGAACACAAGCATGACAGGAGAGACTAAATAATTCCTTCATTACATCATCGTCGTCAATAAATAACAGTTTATTTATTCATTAATTTAAATGTTAGTGTATGGATGTTAATATATGAGATGGACTGTAGCAATTAACAATTCTGAAACAAGTAGAATTGACATTTGGGATCAGAGTGCACTTAAAAGCATCCAGTTTGAAGATAGGATTAATCTGCAAATATTGTATGCTAAATTGCTATTAATTTGATAATCAAATTGAAGTTTAAGCAGAAATAGAGAAATATGGTGCAGCTAGAACATTTACCAGCAGGGGGTAATGGGGCCACGCTAACCAGCCAAACCTTGACTCCTTGGTAATAAATGTATTCTTTATTATTATTATTTTGCATACATACTGGACCCTACTGGCTGTGCCTTAATTTTCAAGCTCTGTGTTTAAATATTAGTAATATTTCTACCTCTTTTTTACATTGCAAAACTGTTACTAACATATACTGAAAGTGTTTGCAAATTAAGTCTAAAATCAAAAGATAAATGTTTACTGTAATTTTGTCCTAGATGCTGGATAGCCATACATATGTATGTATACTGAAGTACAAGTGAGGTTCTCTCTGACCTTTGACCTGAGGACAGTGCCAAAGAGAGATGTCTTGCGTTTAGTCCCCCTCTCATCATCCTGAGTTTCACTGTCGCCAGCTCCCAACGTCCCAGACTCAGTTCTGTGGAAGACGACATTCAGTTAGAGATCTGCCGATTGAGGATTCGGTTTAAAGTTCAGATAAATGCACAAAGAGCAAAGAGAGCAAACAAAAAAGTGGCCTTGAGTTTGCTGTGTGGCGCCAATGCTCGAGTCAGCCAGCGAAAATGACAAGAATGTGGAACATTAAATTATCTGTCTTTCCTAAGCTCATCGAAATACAATGTGTAAACAGGTTATTCATTTTCTTAAAAATATACTTTCAGTGGAAACCGGCTGCATACTTTCAGACAACAAGATGTGGACACACAGTGCTCACTAAAACAAATGCACTTACTAACACAAACACACCCAGTGTGGCCCATTGTACAGCACCACCTAAAATAACTTAAGTAAAGTGGGTGCAAATCACAGCGAATACAGTCATGCAGACAGGAATACAGGCATCAATGCATCATGGCTCTGATTCACCTTCTTAATGAACACAATGGCCTAATTGTGTGGCATTACACAGTCTTACAAAAAGAGATGCCATTCATATCTCAGCTCTGATTTGCCAGCATTAAACAGAAAATATTAAGGAAGAACAGGTGCATCCAAGTCCCTGTCATGAAGGAAGCAATCACATTTTTTGAAAGTGAATCACATAGTTGTCATTCACATAAATCTATTTTAAACAAAGAGCAACTGTTACTTGAGTAACTTGAATGACTGATGAATTGAAGTAGCTTATGCTTTGAGTTATATGATAGAATCCTTCAAAAAATATCATGTAGACAGCTGAGACTGATTCTACAACTACAGTTTTCATTTGCATGCATATACACGCAGTGATGAACTAGGAACCTAAACAGAGCGTGAGAGCAATCAGAAGGGAGTTGTCTGAGGCCTAAAGATTGCAGGGTCTTTTGCTAAATATCCTGCTTCACATTCCAAACCCACTCTTAAATACCCTCAGGCACATGACTCTGAAAATGCATAAACATGCACATTTAAAATTTAACCGAGCATAATCACTGAAGTGATATCTATTTAACCTGTAACTGTAAAAATATTTTTACTCTTTAAAGGTCACACCTTTACGGTATCACTGTCATGCCAACAGCATCAGGTGAAAACAAGATGAAACTTTCACTCTTCACTATCTTGGTTTTTTGATCAAGTTTTTCCCCGGAGGGGAGAACAGCCAAAAGTATGAGTTTCGCTCTGTGTGATGGAAGACCTTAAGCATGCAGTGTAGCCAGTTCCTTTAGGTATAACTATATAATTTGCTGGTATCACAGAAAACTAACTCAAAATAAAAAAAGGATTTGTTATCATGCAGAGTTATATTAATTTTCTTTAAGTAGTGAGGCAAGAAATAGATTTCGAGACCTTAAATTTATTTCAGAGCACAGGGGCCGGTGTTGTGCCGAATTCTGCACCCCTGCCAGATTATGCACCCCCTCGTTGAAGTCGCTACCTGATTGCCTAATCCCAACCCCACCCCTAATCCTAACCCCTCCCCCACACCTAATCCTAAACCTACAGATACTAGGGGGTGCATAATCTGGCAGGGTGCAAATTTCAGCACTACACCTGTTGCACCAGCTGTACATAAGTTACAATTTAGCCTAGTTTTGACGTAAATGGGCACTAAGTTACAATTTACGCACTACTAAATATTTTTTCGTTGCACCATTACACTTAGTTGAAGTGTAACTCTATAAACTAAATATTTACGGAAGCATCTGTTCAGGAGTAACGGTTGGAATAAAATAACAGACTGAGTGAACTGAATCAATATGCTCTTCTTTTACCCGACAATCTACAATCCTTTAGGCATATATGATGCTGCTGACATTTACACTCACGTACATATTAAGAGAGAGAACAATATGTGAATAAACGTACTTGTTTTTTGTTTTTTTTGCGCGTCTTCAACACCCCATCTACAGTGCGCCTCTGTGTGCTTTGGTCCGTGTTGCGCATGTCAGGTGAAATAATAAATAAATGGCATTTCTTATGTTTTTTTCTTTCAGTATTTATTGATCCTTATTTATTTCAATTACAGTTTCTGAATGTTATTTACATATAAAATAGCTTACATATAGACTAATGTTATTAATGAATCGTTTTTAATGGAAACTTGTTTTTACTGTTAGTGTACGTGAGGTAAAAGAAGTTACAATGAAGTATAAATTAAAATTCATAGCATTTAAACAAGTTTTACTCACGAATTTGAAGGTTTCTATTGGATGATTTAGGTTAAACGTCATATTTACAGACTACGCATTACTTTATGGAGAGCTTACAAACTACTACCATACGTCCTGCCTTTCGAACAACAGGTGCAACCAAATAATGTATAGATTTAGTTACAAACTATCTAGTAGTTACTAAGCCTCTAGTGTGGACTTAATGTTCTAATTTAAGTAAGAATTTACGAATGGCTGGTGCAACCCTACCCAGGAAACTAGGAAAATATTTTTACAGCAGATTATAATTATTTTCATAAATTCTATACCATTTTATGTATATATATATATATATATATATATATATATATATATATATATATATATATATATATACAGAGGTGTGAAAAAGTGTTGGCCCCCTTTAATGTTTCAGATCAGCAACCAAATTTAAATATTAGGGAGAGAT